CCCCAAAACCCCAAAACCCCAAAACCCCAAAACCCCACACGATTGAATATTGGCTTATTAGAAGTAAAAATCGAGTATTTGCTTTTTTAAATGGCGATTGCTCGGGAATTTATAATAAATATACTTATAAAAGTTTGCTTTTTTAATATTCTTTTACTTCTATGCAACCAACCAACATAAACTTCAGTATTCCTGAGAGTTAAAACCCTTAAGCTGCTCTTGAACAATTTCTTGCATCTTAATCACAGCTTGCTCGCCTCTAAGCACTCTAAAACTTGAGTAACTTGATAAAAAAAGAAGGCTCACTTAAGGGTTTCGGACTTCAAATGAACAATCAATAATCACAATCTCAAGTACAAGAAAACCTTGGATATCTTAACTAACAACTTTTCTAATAGAATATGAGGGGTAAACCAAATTTAGATATGCCATTATATAATCTAATTCATCAAGTAATTTCATCATATTTTAACTATTTGCTATAGAGATAAAACTCAGATGTGGTCAGTAATTAGAATTCATATTACAATCTTCTCAGCTAACAACTTAGACATGAATAAATTCAACAATTGCAAATGCAAGCATAAGCCTTCGAAACCTACTAGTAGCAGATCTAATATCAGCAATAGCTTGCTAGCTAACCTTTGATGAGAATAGACTAGACTTACATTGACCTATTATAAAACGGTCCTTCTCAAGTTACTAAGCCAACCATGGATTTGACTTTGGGAGTCTAAATGACTGGCACCAAACAAAGAGACTTTTTTAAATTTTTGTGTGGAAAAAACCTCTCCGAAATTAATCTATCGACCCCATAAAGATAAAGCATATATGACTACATTAATAAAGTAGAGGACGAAAGCTTGATTATAATCAGTCCTTTCAACAATCCCGCCACATAAAACATGAACAAACCTACAAAGAACACGGAAAGATCATCCTGTTTCAGAGGCGTCTCGAAAAATGGCCATCTTTGGCAGGTATGCTATATAAACTTTAATTGAAATATTAGGTGCTGATTATGAACAATAAGAAGAAGAAGTACGTTGGCTCCTTCGCAGATGAAAAGGATGCTGCACTTTTATATGACAAAGTTGCCATCTTGACTCACGGAATCAAGGTATATATAATTAGAAATAATTTTTAATAGGCAAAAACAAATTTTGGATACACAAAACTATAATTAATAGAAATATTGAAAGAAAATATTAACATTGATTGATTTGAAAGAGACTAATATCGCACATTACATCTACCAACTATTCTAGTAGAATACAATATTATATATCATTAAATTTACTAAGTATAATTCTCACTAAGCTTAACTATTTTATTTCCCCTTTATATGAATTTAATTAATAATAGGTCCATTTTTTTATCGTTCGTAAATATTTTATTATCTCAGCTGAAGTCATAGATGTAAATATTAAATACAAATCCCTTAAAATTCTACAATTGTTAATTTTGAACTCTGGTTTGGCATATGGGGTTTTGGGGTTTTGGGGTTTTGGGGTTTTGGGGTTTTGGGG